TAGCAACGTATTTGGACGACTATCTGACATTAACCCTAAGGTACGATACGCGGCAGTACGGAAGATTGATAACATATCTTATTTGCTTTCCAAATTCAAACGGTCAGCTTTCCATCGATATCCACGACCCTGTGGATATGATCGCTAGCCCCAGTCGTTTTCAAATTTGAACATGATTAATGGATTTTGCGGATCGCGTGGGTGGTTGACGTGTGATTGCTATCTTTGTTTAATTTTTTTTTGGTAAGGATCTTTGTTTAATTTTATTTCCCCTTAAAAAAAAGAAAATCCTAAAATATTAGTTAGAATTTAAATTAGAAACTTTGCATATTTAGGGAATCCTGAATATGTCTAGAAGATAGGATAATTGCTTATTTTAAATTGGGATTTAGGGTAGTTTATTTCCTAGTTTAAATTAGGGATTGTTCTAGTCTTAATATATTATTTAGGATATTTAATTATTACGAATTTTCATAAAAAAATACCCCAAAAAAAGAGTCACTTTAGGATATATTAAATTATCTTTCCTAGAATAGATTGCATCTTAATTTAGGCAATTTTTAATTCCGAATTTATTTGCAAAAATACAAAAAAATACCTTCCTGTCATTAGAATTAGGTAATTTAATCGCATGTCATATAGTTCGCATGCTAAGTTTAATTAATCGCATGTCATAATTTAGACGTCATGGCACGTAGGTTAGTCTTCATTTAAATAAAGAGAAAACCCTAAAGAACAAATTGACTGAAGTGCTTGTTAATTAGAAATCATAATAGGACTATCTGTGTGATTCTCTAGCTAATAATGTTGATGCTTACATTACTAAAAGGTACGTTGTTCTCCTAAGATAGTAATTTATTTACTGCTTTCTTTATTGGGTGTTAAATTGGTGGATTGCGCACCTGCATGGTTACCTCACATGTTAGCAACTAGGTAATAAAATGGATCCAGATTGCCTGCTTAAACATTTTCATGAAAATAAAAGGTATCGAAAGGGCGTTAGAATAATCTAGCGTAACCAAGTCCTCGAACTCAGAATCTCTGGTTCGTAGAAATAAAACATATTTTCCTATGTTTTATTTGGGTTTCTAATCGACCCACCGCAAATAGATTAATGGCGACTCCAGCATGAAAACATTTGTATGTTAAGAACTTAAACCCTAAGTCGCGAATTGGTAAGGCTTGGGAGGCCCGAATTAGGTTTAGACTTAATAATCCATTAGCCGAATCCCTAGGTGGTCCACACCCGCAGGAGGAGAGGTCACGACAGTTTGGCGACTCCGTTGGGGATTTGAAAATTCTTAGTGGACTTAGGCCATTTTTCTTTAAAAAAAAATCTTTTTGTTTGATAGTGAGGATTTCAGGTACGTCCTTAACGTTTAAGGTGTTAAATGTTTTTGTAGAATGGGAGGTATAAGGGGAGACATGATTGTTAACCCTTATTTTGCAGGGAGGAGTAAGATGTATGGTTTATTTTATGCACGAAGTGCTGTTTGATATAACCTGCTATGCATGTCTTGCATTTACACTATACCGCACTAACCACCCACTGCCGGACCTAGGTGGCACAGGTTTATGATGGTACTGAGACAGTGCACACCCCGACTACATCCGAGTGGTATGAGTCGCCCTCCTCGATCCCGAAAGTTCTTTTATGGTGTCATTGAGTTACCACCACGGTTGCAACCCTATGACCTGGGTCAGCTCCTTGACTGAGTCGGAGTCAGGGGAACCCCGGCCAAACCACCACCATGCCTGGTTTAGCCCGGTAATCCTCGCGTCTCCATTTGTTTAGATAGAAATCGAGTTTCACATTTCATGCGCGTGTCTATGTGGTTGCCATGGTACTACTGGATGAAGTAAGTCTTCTGAACTCTCCTTCTTGCAATTTACTTAGTTATTGCAATTTTCGGGTTGGTCCATGATAGGTTTAAGTCGGTTATAAATTTGAAGGTAATAATCATCGAGTCCTTTGAAAACAAAAAAAGAGAAAGAAAGCTTTTAAGAGAATTATTTTCCTAAATGTGTCATAGGTAATTATTTTTTAAGAAGTTTGCCGTCTTTTTTTTTACAAAGAAAAGAAAAAAGAAAAATGGTGTGGGGAAAGAAAAAATAAGGCTTTAGACAATTTGTTTTCGGTTCATAGTTTCTAGGGAGTCTCAATTTTTGCTTTTCCTAATTTTATGATTAGGGATTTCAGTGTTTCTATTTCCTAGGTCATGTCTAGGGTGTTGTTTATATTTTTCTGCCTAGATCACTTTTTCATAAAGTCTCATTCATATACGAATATTTTCATGAATAAACAAAAAAGAGACTAGAAAGCGTGTCATGGACCAACCTTGTCTTGACCATGAGCTTATTTGGTTCGTTTCTCTTGAATCAGGTGACTACGGATCATCCACAGTTGTTGATGTGTCGCTCAAGCCTCACCAAGGGGCAACCCCGCCGAGTTCCTTTGTTGTTGCTCTTCCTCCATCGTGAGCTCACCGCCCGGCACAAACTGCAGCTCCGTCCACCACTTGCTGTTCTCTCGACAACTGCGGCTTCTCTGCATAAATGTCGTTCGTGTCTTTGTTTCTCGGAGTGCCATACGTCAGCCAGCCGCTAAGCCGAGACGCCCTTAGCTATGAGCCACCGCGAGGAAGTTGATACTCGAGCTAAGTGATTATGGATCACCGCCCTGGCCACAACCAAAAACAAGTGATCAGGGTGAAGTGCTGAGCCGCCTTGCTAATATCGAGAAGGACCTGAATCAGACCTCCATCATTCTCCAACAACTCTCAAGGCAAGCGGCGCATCTGTTGGACTGCTTGAAACAACTCACCATGACCCGTCCCCTTCCTTAGGGGCCAAGGGTGATGATTCAAATCAAGCCTTTCAGCACCAATCCGAATGACAAAGCAATCGTACCCGGCAATGCTATTGAGTCCCATGATACTATGGAGTTGAGCACCCTGTGTCCAAAGTTCATGAAGCACGAACAAGGTACTCGGGGTCCAACCATCCCATCGTCACGCCCCCAGCAAAGCAAGGTACAACTACTCCCTGGGTGTCAAAACAACCCATTAAGATGCCCGTTCTCTAATCAACAACGAGGCACTAGGAGGCAGTTCACACTTCTCCCTGCACCCCTGTCTAAAGTCTTGCTTGCTCTCCAACAGAAGGGCTTGCTCTCCATTAAGCCGAAGCGGCCTAATCCTAAATGTTTCTACAACTACGATCCCTCCAAAAAGTGTGACTATTACTTGGGAGAAGTCGATAACTCCACTGATAACTGTTATGTTCTAAAGCATAAGGTCCAGGACCTCTTAGATGCTGGGGCATGTACATTCCATGTTTCGTGCCTCTGCCAAGGCCGAGACGATCTTCTCGTAATTCCAAACATTTGCACCATATTCCCAGGCCCTACAAGAATAACGCATGAAGAGAAAGAGGTGATCGACACTTTGGGGCAACCAAGCGGTAAGTTCAACTATTATGTGAAATACTCGGCTCATCCGAGTTTTTATATTGACCCGCGTGATATTGTCCCCGATGGATGGGGAAGTATGGATGATCCAACACCTCCAGTGATAGAAAATCCAGATAACACAATGGAAAGAATTGCCACCCTGTTCGATGTCATGCTTATTGGAGCGATCGAAGAAGGGCCGTTGGAGGGAATGGACACTAGCCCACAAGAGTAACACCTTTACTTTTCCGCACCTTCCCCTGCATGGGAAATTTTACTGTTTTTTACGACTTGCTGATTTACAGCTTTCTAGGATTTGCTTGCTTTAATTTCGTTTACAGGATTCGATTGTCGCAATTTCCATTCAATAAATGTAATTCAATTGGTGATAATCAATGAAATTACAAAGTATTTTGTTTTGAGGGCATGTTGAGGTACATCAAACCAGCCCGGTGATGATATCCAACCGATAAAAGAAAAATATGGTCCAAGGAGAATCCCGAGACCTGGGCTTCTTCATGCTTCCTCGTGTTAAAACCTTTTTTGAAAAAGAAAAATCCAAAAAAAATTGAAAATTCAAAAAATTCAGAAAAATATACTGTTTGGCCCTATTTGTCCTTCTGAATCACCTACCTTATGTTTTAGGGGCAATCTTGTGACACTCGAGGGTATGTGAATGGTCTAACCTGGTGAATTATGTATAGTCAATGACAATCTCGATGATCTCGATCATTTTGAAGATCCCTCAGAAATGCTACGTGACCTAGAACGACATGAAAGGCCTAAAGTTTTCATGTCAAATCAAACTATCACTATTAACTTGGGTGATACGGAGGAACCCAAAAAAGTGAAGATAGGGGCAACCTTTCTCGAAGGTGAAGCAAAACACTTGGTCCAACTACTGAAAGACTACCAAGATATCTTTGCCTGGTCGTACGTCAATATGCCGGGTTTAGACCCTTTTATTGTGGAGCATAGTCCATCTACTAATCCGAGCATGCCGCCTAAGAAACAGAGGCTGCAGAAAACTGAGCTTGAACTTTCAAAGAAAATATAGGAGAGGTCACGATAGCTTGGCGATTTTGCTGGGGACAATTTTGACACTCATATTTTTCTATTGGGCATTGGCTTTGCTCTTACCAGGCACACTGCTTTTTTTATGCCCCCTATTTCATTTTTTCATTTTTTTTACTTTCACATCTATGGGCATTGGTGTTAAAATAAAAGTCACAAGACTCAGAATAAAACAAACAGAGGAGATAACGAATGCTTTATGCCCTTAACCCCCTACTTCATCTGACATAAGCTCTTTATATAAATAGACCAACAACGGAAACAGCTAAAACATAGCCCAAAAAATAGCAACAGAAGAGACTCACTAATGTGCAGCAACGTGCTGCAACAAACCCCTGAAGAATAGCAACAGAAATATTCTCCAGCTTATTGACCACGTAGAACATTGACAAATTCAAACATTGACTCATTCAACATCCCACCCTTAAACTGATGTTGTAGATAAATCAGTTTAAAGGAACAGGTTAACCCTCCCTTAATCTGGAGCATCCAATGAACAAACACCAAGAAGCTTCCTTAACTTCTGAAATGTGGCAATTTTGAGAGGTTTTGTGAACAAATCAGCAACTTGATCTTCACTTCTGCAGAAAACAAGATCAATCACACCATCTTTGGTAAGATCTCCCAAGAAATGATACTTCACATCTATATGCTTGCTTCTCCCATGTAGAATTGGATTCTTTGACAATTTAATGGCTGAATTGTTGTCACAAAAAATTATTGTTGCTTCATGCTGTTCGAATTGAAGTTGTCCACGAATCTTCCTCAACCAAATAGCTTGACAAGCACTTGATGTGGCAACCACAAATTCGGCTTCTGTTGTTGAAAGAGTGACTAAGGGTTGTTTCTTTGAAGACCACAAGACAGCTGCTGAACTAAGCGTAAATACATAGCCTGAGGTGCTTTTCCGATCCTCAATATCACTTGCATAATCACTGTCAGTAAAACCAAACAAATTTGAATTTTCTCCTTTCTTGTAAAATAACCCAAGAGATGCAGTCCCTTTCAAATAGTGTAAAATACGCTTAGCAGCCTGAAGGTGTTTTTTTGTGGGATCCTCCATGTATCTACTAATGAGACTAACACCATACATGATGTCTGGTCTTGTTGCTATTAAGTACATGAGACTCCCCACAATTTGCTTGTACATGGTGCTGTTCACTTTTCTCCACTAGGATCTTTAGTGAGCTTTAATCTAACCTCTGTTGGTGTGGCAACTGAATTGCAATCCTTCAACTGAAACTTCTCCAAAATCTCCTGCGCATATTTCTTTTGGCAAACAAAGGTACTGTCAGTAGACTGATTAACTTCAATGCCTAAGAAATAGTGCATTAACCCGAGATCTGTCATTTCAAATTCATGTATCATGGATTGCTTAAATGTCTCCATCATTGCACCATCATTCCCTGTGTAAATGAGATCATCTACATACAAGCATACGAAAAGTAGTTTTCCACCATGACCAACCTTAATAAACAAAGTATGTTCATAAGGACACTTGGTAAACCCTTCCTTCAAAAAATAAGCTTCAATCCTACTATACCAAGCTCGAAGAGCTTGCTTTAATCCATATAAAGCCTTCTTTAGTTTGTATACTTTATCCTCACAATCAGGCTTCACATATTCAGGAGGTTGGTCAATAAATACCTGTTCTTAGAGATCACCATGTAAAAAGGCGGACTTCACATCTAACTAATGGATAGGCCAAGATTTATGTGCTGCTAATGCAATCACCAACCGAATTGTGTCAAGTCTCGCAACTGGCGCGAACACCTCTTTGCAGTCCACTCCAAATTCTTGCTTGTAGCCTTTTGCCACCAAACACGCCTTGTATTTGTCAATGCCACCATCCTTGTTTAGCTTTGTCTTGTAGACGCACTTAACACCAATAGTGTTGTGCCCTTTGGGAAGATTTGTTAATTCCCAAGTGTTGTTTTTCTCAATTGCTTCAATTTCAACATGCATTGCATCTCTCCACTTTTGATGTTTAACTGCTTCGTCAAAAGTAGTTGGATCACTATCTGCAAGCAAAGTAAAATGAGTTAATGGGTCTTCACTTTGATCAACTCCGGACACCTCATAATCTCTCATCCATGCTGGCCTTTGTAGGTGACATTGGGGGCGTGCACCATGTGTTGCCACAGCTTCGGAATTGGGCTGCTGCTCCTTATCTTCAATAGGGTCAGAATTGTTACTAGCCGAGGCCGAGTTGTGTTGTTGGTCTTCCTCGCCAATTTCTTCAAAATCAGCTGCAATTGGTGCATCACCTTTAGCTTGATCATTCCAAGGCCAGAACATTTCTTCATCAAACACTACATTACAGCTGATTATAATCTTCTTGGTCATAGGATCATAGAGTTTGTAAGCTTTTGTTTGATCACTTACACTAAGAAAGACACATCTTACTCCCTTATCGTCAAGCTTTTTCCTTTTCTGATCTAGAATGTGGGCATATGCAATACACCCAGAATTTTTGAAGTAATCAACCATTGGCCTTCGACCATTCCAAGCTTCTTCAGGAGTCATATTCAGAACAGCAAGTGTGGGGCTTCTGTTCAAGTGATGGACACTCCAATTTACTGCCTCTGGCCAGAACTTCTTTGGAATTCCACTTCTTCACAGTAGACTTCGAACCATGTTGAGGATGGTTCGATTCTTCCTGTCACATACACCATTTTGTTGTGGTGTATAGGCTGCAGTAAGTTGTCTATGAATTCCATGCTTCGTACAAAAATCATCAAACTCAAGAGACTTGTACTTCCCTCCACGATCAGTACGAAGAAGTTTGATTTGATTGCCACTTTGCTTTTCGACAAGACTTTTGAAATTCTTGAATGCTTCAAAATCATCAAATTCTTGAGTGTTCAGATTTTTCTTGCAAGAAATATACCCACACCTTTCGACTGAAATCATCGATGAATGTGATCAGATATCATTTACCTCCATTAGAAATTGGTGAGATTGGACCGCAAAGATCTGAATGAGCCAGCTCAAGCTACTTCTTAGCCCTCCACACCTTGCCTTGTGGAAACTGAGCTCGATGTTGTTTGCTGACAACACAGTCTTCACAAACTCCTAATGGGATTGTGATTGAAGGAAGTCCCTTCACCATCTGCTTTTGGTGTAGTGTCCGCAAGCCACCAAAATTAAGATGCCCATATCTGAAATGCCAAATCCATGCTTCCTCCTTTAATTTTGCCGTGTAGCAAGCATGCACAGAATCATGAAGATGAAGAGGAAACATTCTGTTTGGTGTCATATCAACTTGAACAAGGAAGTTCTGCTACTGATTATAAATCTTGCAAACTCCACCTTTAAATACAATTTCATACCCCTTCTCAAGTAATTGGCTGGCACCCATGAGGTTTGTCTTCAATTCAGGAACATAGAAAACATCATTCATGGTCTGCGTTTTCCCTTTTGAAGAGATTTGAACAGTACATTTTCCCATGACTGAAATGGTAGAATCATCCCCAAGCTTCACTTTAGTGCGGTGGGTATAATCGATTGAAGAAAATGCCTCCTTGTTGCCACACATATAATTGCTACAGCCAGTGTCAAGTTACCATAAATTTGGTGAAGACATCTCTTTCTTCTGACATGCCATTAGGAGCGTCTCTCCTTCTTCTTCATTTGCTGCAGCAAAATTTGTTTCTTCCACATGTCGACTGAGATTGGTTCTACATTCAGACTTGTAGTATCCATACTTGTGGCATCTAAAGCATTCAACTTTCAATTTTTCTGTTGGTTTTGGCTTGAAGCCAGTTGGATACCGTCCTCGACCTCTACTTCGTGCATCATCAGAGGAAGAGCCTTCAATTCTTGGATTGATGGTGCTGCTACGTTGGTGGAAGCCTCTTCCTCTCCTTCTACCATTATTTATTCTTATTGCTAAAGAATGACGAAAATTAGTGGAGGTCTTCAAGGCTTGTTCTTCTGTATCTTGGTGTTGGAGTTTCTCTTCATGAACCAATAAAGAACCTTGCAGTTCATCAATTGAAAGTTCTTCAATATCCTTAGCTTCTTCTATGGCACATACAACAAAATTGAATTTTGGTGTCAAGGATTGAAGGATTTTTTAAACAATGGTGACGTCCTCCGTCTTGTCACCGTGGATTCACATCTTATTGACGATTGCCATCGTTCTTGAAAATTAATCTGTGACTGACTCCCCCGACTTCATTCGTGGTGTTTCGAAGTCCGTACGAAGAGCTTGTAGTTGTTGCCTCTTTGCTCTTGCTAAGCCTTGATACTTCTTCTTCATGGAATCCCATATTTGCTTGGAAGTATCCTTGCAAAGAATTGTCTCCATGATGGACCTGTCTATTGCTTAAAACAAGTAGTTCTTTGCTTTGAGGTCCTTCAGCTCTGCCGCTTCAAGAGCTGTTCGTTGTGTTGCTGTCAAAGTTGCTCCTTCTGGTTCTGCAATTCCAGAAGAAACAACGTCCCAATACTCCTTAGACTTGAGGAAATTCTCCATCAATATACTCCAATGGTCATAATGACCATCAAAACGAGGTATAGAGGGTTGTACAAAATTCTTTGTGGCCATCACTGCTACTGCAAAGAAGAACCACTGCTACTGCTGTAAGCAAAAAATAATCTACTCACTCACGGGTTGCTGCTGCAACTGAAGCTACTGTCCAGGACTCTCTTTCCTCATGTGTTTGAACACTCAAGACTCTCCTTTTGAACACTCAACACACTCACGTTTCTTTTGTGGCTCTGATACCACTGTTAAAATAAAAGTCACAGGACTCAAAAGAAAACAAACAGAGGAGATAACGAATGCTTTATTGCCCTTAACCCCCTACTTCATCTGACACAAGCTCTTTATATAAACAGAGCAATAACGGAAACAACTAAAACATCGCCTAAAAATAGCAACAGAAGAGACTCACTAATGTGCAGCAACGTGCTGCAACAAACCCCTGAAGAATAGCAACAGAAACATTCTTCAGCTTATTGACCACGTAGAACATTGACAAATTCAAACATTGACTCATTCAACAATTGGCCTTTCTTTTATCAGGCACATTACTTTTTCATACCCCCTAGTTTTCATCATTTTTTTATATTATTTTTTTTGACACCCACTGTCTATAATGCATACATTGGCCAACCACACTTTGCGTTTTGACCGAATGACTCAACATTTAGACTTTCAGGGGTCTTTGTCTTCCATCGACGCTCTGGATATGCTGCTTGGTGGTGATGGCTTTTACCTTGCCCCAGTGTGGGGGATCATTACCAACTGGGTTTAAGAAATGAATTTGTAGGCTTAATTGGGCTTAGCAAAGGATAAAGTGTGTATAGGATAGATAAAGAAATGCTCTTTGTCATCTTAAGGCACTTGATCTTTGTAGGCATTCATAAAAAAAAACAACACTCGAATATTGATACAAGTGAGAGCAAGAAAATTTCTATCCATTTTATCACTTCCTGATGCTAATTTACCTCCAGTTTGCTCCGATGTGGGGTGGTTCTTGACAGGGGTAATTTTGAAAGAACCTCTCCAAGTGTTTAGGCTCGAAGTGGCGAAATAATGGACAACTTGTAGTGTTTGAGATAGAGAAATGAAATGCCTCTTGTCATTTCAGTTGCCGTACATTTTTCGAGATAACCCTTTACCTTGTAGACATGGAATTTTTCCATTCAACTCACTGGAGATTAGTGTATAGGACTGTGTATGGGGTGTGTTTTGCCTTTCATCATTCCGGTATAGCTCATTTAACACATTCAATTCATTTCACATGAGTTATTAGATTGTTTAAGCAAATTCCCCTTTTTCGAAATCGATGATGCAGACTGACAAAATAATCAAGCAGAATTTAAAGCCAATGCACTCATTCCATCTTGAAATTGATTGAAACCATTTATTCATCATTGAAATGTTTGCAACTTAGAGTATAAAACCAGACACTCTAAAACTCTTGCTGCAAAATGTTAGATTCAATCAGGGATAATAAATCTTCACAGCATCAGAATTAACAGGAGTGGAAAACTCACGATCGTCCATTTCTGCGAGAATTAGGGCACCTCCGGGAAGCACATTTTAACCACATATAGACCGTTGTAGTTTGGGGCGAATTTTCCCTCGAGAACAGGAGCGATTGGTAGTACTTTCCTCAGGACTAGATCATTTACCTC